CTCTGTATATATGCCATTGCTTAATGGAAACAAAGCAATGCGACTGTTTCTCTCTCACTCACTAAAACCCACAACCGTTTGGTTTCTTAGAAGCTTTAACTCATGGTCTTTCGCCATTAAAAATGCTTCTTCACCCAACAAAGCTCTGCAACTTTTCTCTCAAATGCAACGCCACTCTATACCTCTCGACAGTTTCTCTGTACTCTTCACTCTAAAATCTTGTACCCATTTGCACAACCTTCCTCTCGTCAATCATCTCCATGCCCATCTCCTCAAACTCGGCTTCAATTCCCACGTCTACGTCGCCACTTCCCTCCTCCATGCATACGTTGTCGCTTCATTTCGCGATGCTTGTGACTTGTTCGATGAAATGCCTGAAAGAAACACCGTCACGTAGAATACGATGATTACGGGCTATTCAAAGTTGGGAGATGTTGAAAAGGCCTGGGGCGTGTTTGATAGACTGCCTTTGAGGGATGTTGCCTCGTGGTCTGCCATGATCGCGTGTTACGTGAATAATGGCCATTGGGGAAATGGGTTAACGCTCTTTCGCGAAATGTTGGTGGTTGAGCAGTTAAAACCTGACCACAACAATGGTAGGGTGTGCCCACATGGGTTCTATAGGATTGCTACTTGGGAAATCAATTCATGGATTTATTGCAAAGAATGGTTGGGTATTGAATGTGGAACTTGGCACAGTTTTGGTGGACATGTATGCCAAGTGTGGAATTTTAAAGATCGCTAGTTGGGTCTTTGATATGTTGCAAGACAGAAATGTGAAGTCTTGGACTATCCTAATTTGTGGGTCTGCACAGCACGACTATGGCAAAGAAGCATTGTTTATGTTTGAGATGATGAAAGAAGTTGGTGTTAGACCAAATGAATTGACATTCACCAGAGTTCTTAGTGCCTGTGCACAAGCAGGGTTGGTTGAGGAAGGCCGCAGATATTTTAGAATGATTGAAGAATGCGGGTTGGAGTCCACAACTCAGCATTATGTTTGCGTGGTTGACATGTTTGGGAAGGCGGGGCTTTTGGGGGAAGTGTATGAGGTTATTAAGACGATGAGACTTGAACCCAATGTTTTTGTTTGGTGTTCCTTCTTGTCCGTATGTAAAGTGCATAAGAAACTTGAGATGTTTGAGAGAGTGGTTGATCGGGTTATGGAGATGGTTAAGCCGGAGAATGATGGAGGGGTTTAAACTCTTGTTTCAGACTTGTATGTTTTGGGTGAAAAGTGGGACGATGCCGAAAGAGTGAGGAAATTAATGGTGAACCAAAATGTCAGGAAGGCGCGAGGATCAAGTTTCATTAGAAGTGGAGTAGGATAGACGGATAGTAATAATAGAGGTGCACAAACCAATCAATTGTATCGGTTGTATTCTTGAATTTGGAATGAAAAGAGTAATGCTTCCCAGGACGGGTCACAAAATTAGACCATTTAGATTAGATTAGCATTCACAGAAATTGTTGTTTTATCTTCTTGGGCAACTCATGAATACAACCCTTTGGTGTTGTGTTTTGTCCATCATACAAATGATTCAGTTGAAACAAAATACAACCCTTTGAGATGAAAAGGGAATTTTGCAACATCCCAATTGTTAATGATTATTTATTTCAACAAGAAGAGATTAGAAAGAAAAATCAGATTACAGGCATTTAAAAGTTTTGAATTATCATGTTCTCTACGGTAAATGTATTTTTAATCTTTATTTTTTTTAACAAAAGATCATGATGACTGGCTGTGAAGGCTTCAATTTAGGTGAGCCATAATGATTTTTCTTAATTCAAAAATTATAGGGACCTATGTGCTTAAAACTTCATAGATAATAGACCAAACCAAAAAAAGAGTAAAGTTTTTCCAATTTTTTTTTTCAAAAAATTGATCGAGCCAAAATTCAAAGCAATAATGCAAGGAATCAAACCTTGAATACAAAAAACAAAAACATAAATGAATAAGATTTTATAAGATTTGTTGATGGTGTCCACTTTAAAAAAATAAAATTATTTGTTATTATACAAACAAAAAGTAGTCATCATTATGCATCTCTCGGTAAAAATTAAAAAATAAAAAATAAAAAATCATCATTTCATTTCTTTCTCCATCAAAATAAAAGTGAACATAAACAAACAAAAAGTAGTCATCATTATGCATCTCTCTTGGTAAAATTAAAAAAAAAAAAATTCATCATTTTATTTCTTTCTCTATCAAAATAGAAAGTGCACATAAGCAAATGAAATGTAAGAGAAGAATTACTTATGCGACATTGTGCCGTGATTAGTTTTCTGTAGTCTCTTATCGTTGCATAGCATCAATTAATTTTAACAATATAACTTGTCTTTCTCCGCGTGAATGAAATTTAATTACTAATTTTGTTCCTTAAAGAGAGTTTTTTTTTTGGGGGGTCGTTGTTGGGGGGGAGGGGGGTTGTTTGGTGTTAAATAAAACAATACAATGTAAAAATTTATAAAATGTCTCAAATTATTATACAAGTTTAGGAAACAACAATGATTCATCCCACTAAAAATATCACCACTAATAGCACTAAAGCATTAAAAAAGTAAAAAAAAAAAAAAAATACAATTCCAAGACCAAAACATCACATCATTAATGGCGAGACCCACTGTCATCTAATTAGTGGGAGCACTAATTAGTGCTCCCAAACATTTTTCTTTAGGAAATAAACAACAGCTATGCTATATCCTTACAAACTGAAAATATGCTTTTCTCCATGACTCTTTGATCCATAAAGTGAAGCAAACACCACAAAGTCCCAAAAGGAACCCAGATTCCATGCTAATATAGAACCAAAGCATTTCATTATCATTCTCAACACCATTGTCTTTTAAGCTGCCTTCATCAAAAGTAGATGAATCAGATGTATGATCTTCATCGCCCGGGCATTTGGTGGAAAGAAGAAACCTACACAATAAAGGGTTGTCTGAATAAATAGATGAATCATTGAGTTTTTGGAGTTGGTTTCCTGATGGGATTCTTCCTGACAAGTTATTGTGAGATAAATTCAAGTGATTCAAAAAAGTTAAAAATGAGATGCTCTGTGGAATTGGTCCAGAAAGATTGTTGTTTGAAAGATCAAGGGTATGTTTGGTTTGTGTTTGAGAGATGTGTTTTAGAGATAAAAAGTACGAAGACATGTTTGGTTTGGTTTTTTTTAAAAGATGTTTTGGAAAATTATTTTGAGATAGAGTTTTGGAAAAAGTGATTGATTTGATGTGTGTGAGAGAGAGATTTGTTTGGAAAAGGTTTCCTGATGGGATTCTTCCTGACAAGTTATTGTGAGATAAATTCAAGTGATTCAAAAAAGTTAAAAATGAGATGCTCTGTGGAATTGATCCAGAAAGATTGTTGTTTGAAAGATCAAGTGTTTCCAACAATCTTAAGCTTCCAATTTTCTCAGGGATGCTTCTTGTTAGCCGATTCCATGAAAAATTTAAGGTTCCTAACTCAATGAGCCTTGTGATATCTTCGGGGATTTCATCCATTAGATTGTTTGGAGAAAGATCAATGACATTAACATAGTCAAGAATACTGCCATATTCAAGTTCTCTACCTTTTGCCACCAAAGTTACTTGGACTAAGAAGGGGACAAGACTAAAAAACTGCGATTATCATAAACCAATGAAGTTAAATTGTGTAAACAGGTAGGAATAACCCTGAAATATTGTTCTCTACAAGATCTAAGATGTGAAGATTCGGAAAATTGCACCATTGCTGAAGGATGATTCCGTTAAAAGAGTTTGATTGCAATTGTAGCATCCAAAGTTCACTTATAGTCTCCCCTAACCATGAGGGCAACTTTCCAGATAGTTTGTTTCCTCCGAGATCAATGCTCTTTAATGAACAATTTTGTAAGGAACGCAGAATTTCGCCCCCCAGGTCAGGTGCCAAATTGACCATATATGTTAAAAGTACTCAGAACCCCTTGACCCCCCCCCCCCCCAAAAAAAAAAAAAAACTTGAAATATATAAAGATTATGATTATGTCTAGTAAAAGCCATTGTTCCACCCCCTCAAACTTGAAATATATAAAGATTATGATTATGCCTAGTAAAAGCCATTGTTCCACATGAGAAACTTAAAGACTCATTTGATCAAGACATTGTTTTGATAAATTTAATATGAGAACCCATAAAAAATCATAGATCTCACAACTCAAATTGTTTCCAAAGTTTTCTTGGGTTTCTAGCCAATGCTTGAACAATTTATATGTCACGCAATAAAACATATCATTCGGGACATGGAAGTTGGCCAAATAATCCATTAAGCTATCATCAATCATCATTATATTCTACCCGCGCTTTCTATGTATAAAGTAAAAATTCTAAAAAAAGACCAAAAAAATTAGGTCAATGATTCAATAAGTGTAACTTGTTAAATTTATTGCGTTTGTCACTAAAAAAAAAACATGATTTATTTTTAAAAATACAATCGTTGTCTATTTTTTTAGTGAAAAATTGAACTATAGTTATTGGATCGAACCAAATTTTTTTTTTTTTTTTTTGTGAATGAAATACACGAAATATCAAACAAAATGAACGGTTCAGATCATTAAAATGGGCCCGTGATGGGCCCTACGTACCCAACAGTACCCTCCAGTCCAGACAGGAGGGATCCTCCCCCCAGGAAAAAAAATGAATTCTAAAAATATAAATTGTCTTTCAAATCCTGGCGAATAATATGTTAACAAAAACTTGAATATGAAATTTAATTAATAATTTGGTGTCCTAAAAAGGGCAAAAGAAAAAGAGTAAAAAAGAAAAAGAAAGAAGTGAATTTTAAATATATAATTACGATGCAAAAATTTATAAAGAGTCCTCAAATCTCAAATAAACTTGAATCTCCTCTGTTTAAAAAGCTTAGGTGACAACATAACAAGTTCAGCAGCAAACGTTGCTGCTAATCATATGTAGTTTACGTACCTTATCACAACAGCTAACATAGTAAAATAAACAATAGTTATGTCTCTGTTTCCAAAGCATAAGTGACAACATAAACAAGTTTATTAATAAATATAGCAAGCATATGTAGCTTACAATCCTTATCACAATAGCCAACATAGGAAAATAAACAATAGCTATGCTATCCCTACAAACCGAAAATAAACTTTTCTCCATGACTCTTTGATCCATAAAGTGAAGCAAACACCACAAAGTCCCACAAGGAATCCAGAGCCCATGCTAACATAGAACCAGAGCATTTCATTATCATTTTTAGCACCATTGTCTTCTGAGCCTCCTCCACCAGAAGTAGATGGATTAGATGTATGATCTTCATGTTGGATCATCCCATGTGAGCTCCCATTGGAGAACCCACTTTCTCCACCCAATGGAAGTGGCTCTCCCACTCTACCAACCCCACTAGAGAGTGGAAGAGGGTAGGTGGTGACCAATGAGGCTCTCCCTCTTTGGTGTATAAATAGAGGTTGAGGGGAGAGTTGAAATCAGCAGAAATTGAGTGTGAGAGCTGTGAGTTGAGTGAGCTTTATCTCCTCCTCTGTATTTGTATTTTTGCTCCATTTTAGTGATAATTCTCATTTCTGTCCGTGGATGTAGGCATTGGGCCGAACCACGTAAATATTGTGTTCTCTGTGTGTGTGAGATATATTTCTGGGTGTGTTTGATCCTAACACTTCATCGCCTGGGCACTTGGTGGGAAGAAGAAGCCCGTTGGTAGGAAGAAAAAACCCACACAATAAAGGGTTGTCTGCATAAATAGATGAATCATCGAGTGTTTGGAGTTGGCTTCCTGATGGGATTCTTCCTGACAAGTTATTGTGAGATAGATTCAAGTGACTCAAAGATTTCAAAGATGATATGCTTTTTGGAATGGGTCCCGAAAGATTATTGTTTGAAAGATCTAGTGTTTCTAATCTTGTAAGGTTTCCAATCTTCTTTGGGATGCTGCCTGTTAACTGATTCCATGAAAAATTTAAGGTTACTAATTGAATGAGGCTTGTGATGACTTCAGGGATTTCACCAATTAGATTGTTTCGAGAAAGATCAATGATATTGATATATATAAGATTATTGCCATATTCACATTCTCCACCTTTGTCCATCAGAGTTGTTTGCTCCTCATAACGCTTTTCACCGAACAATGTGGCTGCCATACTACTTTCATCATAAACCAATGAAGTTAAATTGTGTAAACAATTGGGAATAACCCCTGAAATGTTGTTGTTTCCAAGATCTAAGATGTGAAGATATGGAAGATTGCACCATTGTTGTGGGATGAATCCACTAAAAGAGTTTGATCGTAACCGTAGCATCCAAAGAAAAGTTATAGTCTCCCCTATAAATGAGGGTAACTTTCCAAATAGTCTATTTTCTCCGAGATCAAGACTTTCAAGTGAACAATTCTGCAAAGAAGAAGGAATTTCACCCTCTAGGTTGTTATTGCTCAAAATCAACATACTGAGAGAACTGAGGACCCCCATTGAACTTGGAATACTACCGGAGAGATTATTGTTTGCCACGTCGACAACCGCCAAGTATTGTGACACATTCCAACACTGTGGGAGCTCCCCGGATAATTGGTTTGTCCTAAGGGAAAGTTGTCTCAAGCTATTCATGGTACAGATGGATGAGGGGATTGTTCCATTCAGAAGGTTCTCTGAGAGAAACAAATATTGCATTTGCGGCATTAGTTCGCCAATATTTGATGGTATAGATCCTGAAAAATTGTTGCTCTGCAGAAAAAAGTAGGTCGCATTGGTTGACCAAAGCGGCAATGGACCCTCAAAGCGATTATAGCTCAAGTCAATAAAATCTAATATTGGAGATTCTAACTTCTTTGGAAGCTTCCCTTTGATTTGGTTGTTATACAGATCCAAATTGGTGAGCTGAGCAGAAATCTTGGAAAGCCATTCTTCAAATCTTCGAAATCCCGTAAAGTTATTTAAGCTTAGATCCAAGGAGTTCAAATATTTCAAGTCAAGCAAAGAAGAGTTTATATCACCGCCCAAACATGACCTTGCATATGCTGTGTCGTAGTTACCTTGATTCCTCGCAGCAATCGCAGAATTGCTGGATGGAAATGGGTTTCTCAAATAAAGCCCGATGACATGTCCAGATGCCTCATTGCATTGAACACCACTCCATTGGCAGCAACCAGTGCCTGTCCAAGAAGAAAGCCTATTTGAAGGATCTTTGAGGCCTTGTTTGAAGGCAAAAAGTGCTTCCCTCTCTGTCTCTATGCATTTGATCATACTGGTCACATTGTCAGTAGTGGCCATGTTGAAATTGATGAGCAAAGACACCATGGAAAGGAAAGTGATGAGAATTGCACATCTGGAATTGATTGAGGAGAAATTGATATGAATATTGCACATGATATGATTGTTGTGGTTGTTCATCTACAGAAATGATTAATCGTATGAGCATCAAGAAGATGTAGAACTTGTAACACATCATAAAAATTTAAAATCAAAATTCCGTAATTTATGTCGTCATTTGTTTATTTATTTTTAGAGAATTCTCTCCGGTCCATTGTGAGGGTGGTGTTGGAGGCTCACAAGGCTTAGCATGAATCTCACTCTTAACAATCTAAATAATTCATTTTGCAAGACTTTGTGTAGATCACCAATAAAATAAAAGACTTCAATTGATTTGACGTTAATAGTTACATGATTTTATTAGTTTTGGGAATTTTTTTGTTTTTGTTTTTGTTGTCGTTGTTGTAATGATGGATGGAAAGTATAATTTTAAAAATAAAAAATTACTATTAAGTATTATTTTGCTTTGCAGATTATCATTGAATCTTATGAAGTTTCAATATGGAACTAAGTCCTATTTTTTATAAATTGTTTCCAAAAGGTTTAATTCCCCATATAGTATAGATTTTATTCTAAATTTAACCTTCTCATTTAATATGAACGATAATTTTATAAATATTTTAAATTTATTTCAATTTTATAATAAAATCATTCTTAATTATTGAAATTAAAAAGCATAAGCATAAGGTTTATCAATTATCTCACGCATTGAAAAATATATGAAATCAAGACCATATTATTTTTCGTAGCTCCATTGATAGAATTTTAATAAAATTTTGTCTTTTGAATTGCTTATCATAAAATAAAATAAATCATATTTTCAAGCAGCAGAAAATGATGAATTTTATATCATAGTTCTTTCAATTTAATTGTTGATTATGATTTTTTTTAATATAATATTTATAATTTGTACAATTAAGAAATGTACTTTTTAGTAAATTAAAATTATTTTAAAAAATTATTATTCATATTAAATAAGAATGATAAAATTAGGATAGAATTCACCATTATGAAGAATTTTTTTTTTGGGAAATATTTTATAAAAATAGGACTTAGTACACCCCTTTTGCAAAATATGATAAAATTATGTAGTAATAAATATCAAATTAATTCTTTTTTTTTTTATACATTATCTACATAAAATCATACAAAATGAATTATTTATATCGTCAAAATTAAATGCATGATGAGCTCCACAGGCCTAGTATCACTTCCTATAGTAATTACAAGAAAAAACCTTAGGGTTTGAGCCTTCTGATAAAATAAATCGTGATTTTGTAATTTTATCAATTTAAACCATAAACTTTTGATATGTTTTCAATCTAAACATTTGTCTATTTCGGTTAAATAAAATCGACGAAAAAATAAATATTTTAGTCATTAAACTCAATGAAAAAATATATTTTAGACATTCTATGTATATTGAAATTGAGTTTAATAACTAAAATACCATTTTTCCTTCGATTTTACTTAACAAAATAAGATAAATGGTTAAATTGAAAACAAATCGAAAGATTAGTATTTAAATTAATAAAATTAAAATTCAAGATTTATTTTATTAGATGCTCAAACTTTGAGATTATTTTTTTTTAATTGTCCCTCAAAGTTTTTTATTTTTATTTTTATTGGTATGTCGAATTGAAGGAATTTTAAAGTAAAATAATAATAAAAATCATAACATAATAATGGCTATGAAAATTTGGATGGTTCCTAAAATGGGAGAAAATTTAACTTCAAGGAAAAGTTGGAAAGTATCCATAAAAAATTGATTAAAGGTGAATTACGTTTATCTCCATATTTAAAAAATATATATAATTAGTCTCACACTTTTTATATAATTATGTTAATATATATTGTTTTTTGATAAGATTAGAGTGATTGAAATTATTATGTCGATAGTGGGTAGACAGTAAAATAAAGACAAATATGCATTTTAGTAAGAAATAGATGATAATAAGAATTTTTCATTCATACAACTAATAAATTACTAATGAAAAATGATTTAAATGTTATGGTAATTAAAACTTTAATTAAAATCATTGTAATTATTTCAAAATATGGAATTAACTGCATTTTCTCCAAATCTCATGAGAGGTGAATATAATTTATTCTATTGTAAAAAGTACCAATTTGAAATTAATTTTCAATACAAGTACATTATTCTTCTAAAATCTTTAGGAAAATTTTCCGCATAAATTTAGAATTGTTAAAGGGGAAGAAACTGACGATAAATTCAGCAGAAACTAATTGAAAACTTAATGAAATTTTTTTGAATTTATTTTTAAGAGATTTATAGCAAATATAAAAAAAAAAAACAAAATGTCTTCTAAAAACATTTTAAAATGTTATGGAAGAATGATTGAGAAATATGGGGTTTTTTATTTAAGATTCATAATATTAAGATTTTATAAGATAAAAGACATGTAATATTTTTATAGTAGTGAAAATCTCTTAACATTTTCAGAAAGAAATTCCGGCACAAAAAAATTTTAATATAGAAAAATTTTGGCACATACAAAAACACTTTGCCCCCTATCATTTAAAAATAGCCAAATACCTCCCTTATGATTTTGGCTATTTTATAATTTACCTCCCCACTATTTCTGTTTAAATCAACAGAACTTGTTTCACAAGGCTTTGGAATTGAGATTTGACTTGGAAAAAAAAAAAAAAAATCAATTAAAATCAAATAACAATATCAAATGACAAATATATCCTTTAACTCCATCGTCTAAACAAAAATCCTAATCTCTTCTTCTCAAAAACCAAATCCTAACCTCTTCTTACCACCATCTGTTACCGCCTCCCACCCTTCCTCCACACCTCTCACTCCACCTCCTCTCTCCTCTCTCACCACTATGACCAACCTCCCCTCACTGATTGGCAACACACAGCTTTGATACACAGAGCAAAGCCCTTTGATTCACACCAACACAAGTTTGCAAAATGCCATGCCATTGGGCTAAAAAGCAAATGCACAATTTTCTAATTCAGATTGTTTCTCCATTAATACCATTGGCCATGTTGTTATTATGTCTAAATATATATTTGTTTCTTTTTCAGATTGTTTCTCCATTAATACCATTGGCCATGTTGTTATTATGTCTAAATATATATTTGTTTCTTTTTGTCCAGTTATATATATATATATATACATATGAATGTATAAATATATTTTTTATTTTTTAGCGAGATTAAATTATGTACAAATTTTATTCATTAAGATTGGTAATGGTGGTTGAATTGAATAAATTGATAGTGGTGATTTTTTATTTTATTTTATTTTATTTTTAAGAGAGCAATTGTTGCAATGAGGAGGATATAAACATCTTTTTGTCTTTTTTGTTGACAGTGTTAATTATACAATTTAGCTCACAATCACATGAGAGTTATTTGCATATTTTTAAAAAATAGGAGGGATCCATTTAAAAAAGATAAAGGGCTGTAGGCCATATCATAAGAGAGTAAAGTGGATTTTATCCTATTTTAAATTAGGGACATCATTGACTTTATTCAGGTTATTTTATTTGTAGCTCCGTATAATTTATTTATTTTTTATTTTTTTGTGAAAGATGAATTATGAAGGATTAAAGTGGAATTTAAGCAAAAATTGAAGGCAAAAAGTGTAATTTTATTTCATAATCACCATGAATCCTCTTAGTACACACCATTTAACCATTGGGTGTATATGACAATAATATCTTCAAGTAAATTGACTATTCCGGTCAATATGTGGTGTATATATATATGTACTCATTCAAGTAATTCATATGTGAAAACACAAATCTCTCTTTACACATCATCACCTATCTTTTGGAACAAATCTCTCATCCGATATTGTTCATCTTCATCATTATAATCTAATACACTACACTCATCATCTTCACCATTATAATCTAATACACTACACTCATAAATTTTGTCATTATAATCGTCACCATTATTTTCCAAACTCAAAACATTAATGCCTGTGAAGATTTAGGATTTTAAGAACATTAAAATTAATTGATTTTGAAGATTTGTACACCATGAATGACACTCATATTGTTGATTTGGAACAATACAACAATGAAAATGTCAGTTTACTTTTTTGTATATATTGTTCGTATAGAAGATGGCTTGATGGATTGTCACATATTCGAACAACCAGAGTTGAACATCTATAAAATTTTCAATTATTTATATTTAACAAAATTATTTTGTTCAAATTATTAAAATTAATCAAATATTAAATATTCATATATAAAAAATTGGACATTTTGATTGTGGTGTGCACAAGTTTATTAGCTTAGTGTTAAAAAGGAAAAGTTATGGTGTGAACTGAGATATTTTTACAATCTAAAATTTATTATGTGTACTAAATAATGGTGTATACTGGAAGGATCGATGATGTGTAAATAGAATTATCCTTCATAATTTTGTTGCTTTAATGTTTTTTAAAAATTCTCACATGTGGGGTGAAAATTTCCTAACCATTTTTTTATGTTGAGTGAAGGGAGGAGTATATTGAAACTAGAGTTAAAGTTGGAAGATTTAATTATTGTAATTAAAAGATGAAAAATAAATTAAGATTTGAATAAAAATTAGAGGGTGGAAAATGTAATTTATCATCTGAAAATAAATAATTAAATAAAAACAACCATAGTAGATAGAAAGAGAGGGTATAAATAACAATTAAAACAATGACATATATCACACATAATTTCAAAGATATCCAGAATGAAGCTACTTACCATTTCCAAAGTTGGAAGATAGTAAAACTTGAAGAATTGAAGCAACAACTAAGCCTTACAATTGACTCTGATTTGGTAGCCGCATCAACATTAAAAGGAATTAACCACCGGTAAGCTATAGAAGCAGAAAAATCAACAATACACTATAAACTCACAAAATTTACCTACAAAATTACCCCAAAAAGTAAATTAACGGACTACATTTATTGTAAGTGTGGCCACTAACTTTTAGCACACTTAGGCCCCGTCTGTTTGGGGTTATAGGAAAGGGATTGGGATTGCTTATCCCTTGGTATTACTAATAGAGTGTTTGTTTTGAGAGATGGGGAGGAGACTATTAATCCCTTGGTATTAGTAGTCCCATTGGAATGGGGATTGGTAAGGAGGAGATAGAGATAGTATTAGAAAAATAGTGAGGAGATTAAAAAAAATTTTATTTTTTTTATTTTTTATATATTGGGAATTTTTTTTTAAATATTAATGTTTAATTTTTTATTTGTTTTATTATTTTATATAAAAATAATTTAACAATTCCTCACTATTAATCCCCTCACTAATAATCCCCTCACTATGAATCCCCTCCATTCTATCTCTGAAAACAAACGGAGCCTTACTTTTCGAGACAATTTTCAAGGTGCATTTTCATGATTCATAGCATTTTTGGAGAAAATTTGCTACTCAAAGAAGAATTGTGTCAGCTACTGCTAGCTATTCCAAATGTACAAGAAAGTATCTAAATGATCTTAAACATGACTGTAAATCAAAATAAAGAGTACCTTAATCTTACCATTTTAGTAGTGGGACAGTTTGTCTTGAGATCGTGGATTCAAACATGAAAGAATGTGTAAATTATGTCAAATGTTACATATATATGCAATCTATCCCTTCTAGAGCCCCTCTTAGGAGTGTTCAAAAAAACTAGTCAAACTGTAAACCGATCCGAGCCAATTCAAACTGTATGATTTAGTCCCCATTTTTGAGGGGATAATTTGGTTCATGGATTAAAACTTTAAAAAATTGAAAAAATCAAACCAAATTAAACTATCACATGCTTTTGTTAATTTTAATTATAGTGTTTTACAAGCTACTTAATCTTCTTTTCATTGACTTTTTCAAACCTCAATTTCATTTTGATGTCGATAAGACTTTCATACATCCTATTTATAAAATAGTCTCTCTCTACGCAAAAATATACATATATATATATATTTACACTATTTATATCATTTTTACACTTCTTATATTATTGAAAATTTACATTTTTATAGTAATTACCATAGAATATTAAGTATTTGTTTCGTCTTTACTCATTTTGTAAAAAATAGTTTGGACGGCACTTTAAAATTTTGAAGTATGTTAATACATTTTTTGCAATGCTTGTATGGATAGAATTAATTTTTATTAAACTAAATAATTTAGAAATAGTGATGAATTTTCTAGTCTAGAACTGTGAAACTAAATTAGAATTGAACCATTTTTCTTACAATTTGGTTCTAATTCAATTCTAAAGATTTTATAGTTTTGTTTGGTTTCTAAATTTTTAAAACCGTAAAAATTGATTTGGTTCTTAATGTACCATACAACCAAACCAAATCGGTCCATAAACACTCCTACTGCATTCAATAGATACTATTAATTATTTTCTAGATTCATCCAATATTTTATATTTTTTTACAATTGGATTTAAATTTACAGTTTTTAAACATATAAATAATTATATTTTTTTCTATTTTATCATTGTTGACAATAACACCCCTATTTTATTCAATTCTAATTAACAAGAATTAAAAGATGGAATGTGAAATTCATACCGTTAAAGAGGTGTCTTCCTCTATTGTTCTACTTCTTCTCAGACTCAATATCTATATCTATCTCTATCTCCTGCAATTTGGTGGATCATGAAATGTGAAAGCCGATAGGTGTACTCTTCCTTGTATTTTATTGCATATATAAATAATGTTTAGCATGAGTTGGTTGGTAGGACGTAGGATGAGGAGTCTTCTAACGATGTCTTGGTCTTCCAACAACAAAGACTTTGACAAGTAAATTTAAATTTAAATAACAGTATTATGAATTCAGAAATTCATTTAGAATTTAAATTGATCTTTCTATCATATATTCATTTTCTGGATAAATTTCAGGACAAACTTTCTGGGTTTATATATATATATATTTTAAATATTTCATTAGGAGAGACAAATGTAATAAATAAAAAAAAAGAAATGAGTTTCACATATCAACAATGATAGGCACATAGAAAATATTGCTAGAAAAATATTCAAAAAGGCCCCTTTCTCACACAGATAGACAAGAATCAGAGCTGGTGTTGCACAATGAAATGGATTTTTTAGTTGTTATTTACATGGCAGAAACGAAAAAAAAGGTTGGTGAAGAAAATCTGAATAAAACCCAAAATGAAGGAAAATTTGAAAGAGGGAAAATGGTTTGCTTGGTTTAGTACGAAACACATCAATATTTGTATGTATTTTTTAAAAAATCACTTCCTGGTTGTAAGAATTGATGTATGTATTATTGATTGATTTGTATTGATTGATATATTTGTTATGTTTACAATGATCATATATATAGAAGAGAAGAAGGTAGTAGGTGAAGTGGTAGGGGGTGAAGTGGAGGTGGTAGTGGTAGGTTAGGTGAGGAGATGAGTGTGTGTGGTAGTGGAGGTGGTAGGTGGAGTGGGTGATTTACTATTTACAATTTACATTAACAGCCCCCCTCAAACTCAAGGAGGATAGGTACTAGCCAACTTGAGTTTGGAGAGAGTAACAAACAGAAAAATAAGCTGACAAATAAAATTAAAAATGGGATAGGAGACACTGTATGGTCGTGTCGGACCGTTGTAGCAGACAGTTTACGGGGTCATGTCGGACCGTTGTAGCAGACACTGTGTGGTCGTGTCAGACCGTTGTAGAAGACAGTTTATGTGGTCATGTCGGACCGGTGTAGCAGGACAGTTTACGGGGTCATGTCGGACCGGTGTAGCAGGACAGTTTACGGGGTCATGTCGGACCATTGTAGAAGACAGTTTACGGGGTCATGTCGGACCGTTGTAGAAGACAGTTTACGGGGTCATGTCGGACCATTGTAGAAGACAGTTTACGGGGTCATGTCGGACCATTGTAGAAGACAGTTTACGGGGTCATGTCGGACCATTGTAGAAGACAGTTTACGGGGTCATGTCGGACCATTGTAGAAGACAGTTTACGGGGTCATGTCGGACCATTGTAGAAGACAGTTTACGGGGTCATGTCGGACCATTGTAGAAGACAGTTTACGGGGTCATGTCGGACCGTTGTAGAAGACAGTTTATGGGGTCATGTCGGACCGGTGTAGAAGGACAGTTTACGAGGTCATGCCGGACCGATGTAGCAAGACAGTTTACGAGGTCATGCCGGACCGATGTAGCAGACACTGTGTGGTCGTGTCAGACCGATGTAGAAGACAGTTTATGGGGTCGTGTCGGACCGTTGTAGCAGGTTGTGGTGGTGTACCAAGGGGGCGACTTAGGGAGTGCGCCATGAGTGACTTATACATGATACTGTGTATAACCCCCCCTCAAACTCAAATAGGTGTGAAGATAGAAACCTATTTGAGGTTGAAAGAAAGGGAATGATAAAGCTGACCGGTGTAGAAGACACTGTATGAGTGTGTATATAGGCTGCCCAAAAAATATACATGTAGATATATATCGAGCCCTCAAAAGTCGTGCCCTCAAAAGGTGTGCCCAATCTATCAAAAGGCGTGCCATCAAAAGGCGTGCCCAAAAAAAAAACTAAAACTGTAAAATTTTACAGTTATCACCTCCTGTAACTAAAACTCGAAAACACTTGTTCAGAATTTGAAAATTTTCTCCATTATAACAAGAAAATAGAAGTGTCTCTTCAAAAGTATTGAAAAAAAAAAAAACTGAGAGAAACATCTGAAAAACTCTTCGTGTTCTGAGAGATTCGTGTTCTGAGAGAGAAACTCTGTAATATTCTGTAACACTCTGTTGCCCAGAAAATGGCCTCTTCGTCCCGCCCTCTTCTTACTCTCTTTCCCGACCTCAACGAGTCCACAAGAGAGATAACTGGTGCGGTGTCCCGTGAACCTCAACCGAACACCACTGGGTTTGCTCCGTTGAACTTTCCGATGCAGTCGGTGGAGCAAAAAATGGCAGTGCAAACGGATGTGGAGGCTAATCAGTATACTTTGAAGGCATGTGTGGAGTCCATGACGACGGTCACAAATTTGTCGCACCGGCTGCAGAGCAGGACAAATGAGGTGCAACAGTTAAACTCCCAGCTGGCTCTGCTCCAACGCATGTATAAGGATGCGCGAGCAGAGATAAGCGTGCTAAGGGCAGAAAACAAGGAGCTGAAGCGGAAGCCCACCGTGATGTTCCGATTTGGAGGGACGCCATATGCTGCAGTGGAGGAGCAGGGAGTAGTGATCTCGGCGGCCGAAAGCGGAAGGCCACCGTGATGTTCCGATTTGGAGGTCCGCCATATGCTGCAGTGGAGGAGTATGGAGGTGTGAACGTGCTTGCCGGCGTGGAAAACACGGAGGCAGCACCGGCAAGGGCCGCTTAGGACGGAGGCAAGAAGAAGAGACCGGCGGCAGAGTAGAGAAAAAAAAAAATCCCACTGTTTCGATTTTTTTTTTTTTTTTTTTTTTTTTTTGTTGTTGTTTTGTATGGGGGAACATGGTGATCGGGGTGAGCCCCGATATGAATAAAATGAGTTTGGTGTGCAGTTCTTCTTCTACGTCTTTGTTTTTTTTTTTTTTTTTTTTTTTTTTGGTTTGTGACTCAGAGCCATGTTCGCCGGATGGAAGGCTAAAAATAGAGAGGTAGAAAATAAAGTATAAAAGAAAAGAAAATTGAAGAGAAAGGTGTGAATGTGAAAGGAATACAAAAAAATAAAAAGAAAATGTGATTCGTTTTCTTTTCAAAAGATGAATTAAAATAAATATAAAAAAAAGGAAAAGAAAGTGGAGTGGGGAACAGGAGGGAAAAAGGAAGTGGAGACCATGATGAAAGGAATGACTGAGTGTAAGTGTGTGTTCATTTCCAACCCAAAACTGTCGAGAGAGTGAGAGAGCCCGAGAGCAGATGCATGGGTGTATGTGTGTATCAGTCGTGGGTGCTGTGTGTGAAGCTCAGTGTCGGTATGTCATGCGCATGTGTGTGTGTTGATGTGTGTATGAGTGGGTGTCAAGAGGGCCGGGGGAGAGAGATCGGTTCCCCCCTGTATCAATGATGTGGGTGTGTATGTGCTAGCCAAGAGAAAGAGATAGGTGGGTTTCTTTTTAGAGATAGAGAGATTGAGTTGGTGCCCCCCCTCAAAGAGAGAGAGCAACCCGTGTGTGTTGTAGAGAGAGAGACCCAGTTGGAGAGAGAGAGCTCAGCCAGCCTCCTGTGTGTGTGCGCTGCGGTGTTTGTGTATGGAGAACCAACTCGAGAGAGAGAAGTTGGGTGGGTTTCTCTTTTCTAAACCATATGTGTATCTTATTGTCTCCTCCTTACATTTTCAAAGAAAACCCCGAAACTGCCCAGAGAAGGAGGAAGAGAGTTGTGTATGTATGTCGTGTGTTTCCTCCTCAAAACCGTATGTGTCTGTGCATGGTGTGTGGGCTGCTGCTGTGTATGTGTTGTGGCTCTGTGTGAAAGGTATGTGTCTGCTGTGTATCTGGTGTGTGCGTGTATGCTGTGTGTAGCTCTCAATGGTGTATCTGTGTCTCCTTCTCCCTAACCCAAACTGCCGAGAGAGAGAGAGGTTGGTTCAGTCATTCCGAGAGCAAGCTCGAGTGGGTGTTGCTGGGTTGCCTCCGAGAGAGAGAGGATTTGGGCAATGATGGGAAGGTATGTGTAGAAAATAAGCAGAATAGGTTGAGGTCCGGCGGGCGGCCAAGGCGAAGTTGCTGCCCGCCGGTGAAGCGAAAAATACTAAGTTCTTAACCTAGCTCTGATACCATGTAAGAATTGATGTATGTATTATTGATTGATTTGTATTGATTGATATATTTGTTATGTTTACAATGATCATATATATAGAAGAGAAGAAGGTAGTAGGTGAAGTGGTAGGGGGTGAAGTGGAGGTGGTAGTGGTAGGTTAGGTGAGGAGGTGAGTGTGTGTGGTAGTGGAGGTGGTAGGTGGAGTGGGTGATTTACTATTTACAATTTACATTAACACTGGTGAAGCGCACCAGAAAGATCTTCGAGTTCACGACCGAAGCTGAAGCAAGAAAAAAAGTTGTAGGGGAGTTCATCATCATCGTGCAGATCGGTGAAGAAAAAGCTAACAAATCGTGTTTCGCATCCGTACCTTTAAGAATCCTCGACGATCAGCTTGTTGGTGTTCACCATCAGTTCCGCCGGAATGCGTGCGCCGGAGATAGCTACTCGCCTCTACTGTGAAACCGTCCAGGTAGAGGGTAGAGAGTTTGGTGTGAGATATGAGAGACACGAGACGTGCGTGTGTCTCTTGCCAGATGTAGCAAACGGAGGGCAAAACTGTCTCTTTACCGTACATAATGCGATACAGCTGGACGCTGCCTTCACTCAGCTACAGTGCCCGATTTTTGAAATTTTTTCCGTTGGGGCTAAAATATGCACCAAACCGGTTTGTCAAACACCACTAAGATTACATTTGAAATTATAAAATTGAGAAAGAGAAAGTACATATATAAACAAAATTAATTACTCAAAAAACAACTCAATTATTAGTGGATATTTATTTATTTCTTTATCTTTTTGAGTAGTTGGTTAAAAGATAATTTTTTGACTTTTTTTTAAAAAATGTATAAAAAATATAAGATGTGATATGTTTCAAAATAAATTAAAAATTAACTTTTGCCTTTTACCTGTGTTGCCAAATTGACCTAAAGTCATACATTTAACCTTCTCAATATCACTTTTACTCTTTCAACAGAAAAACATTTGTATAGTTAACATGCAGGGGTGAACCTCATTCCTTCAATTTCAAAAAAAAAAATAAAAATAAAAATAAAAATCAATTTACTACTACATTATTAGTCATTAATCATTTCTAAATTATGAGTTACACATTACAATTTTTTTTTTTTTAAACTCAAATATTATCTTGTTCGACCCTTTCGATCTTTAGGTCTGTCCGCAACACACTATAATTTATACATTGATTTAATATAATATTATTTGTTAAAAGAAAAAGATTGAAGCTTAGTAACTTCCATTAATAGACTAAAATGAATTGAGAGTAGACTTTGAAGCAGTGTGGTATGGGGTTGTCTTTTAGACTAATAATGAACTGGCAAAATATGACCCATTGGTAAATGGGAAAACACGTTTTCATATCAATTGAAACATGTTTGTCCCACCACTTTCTCACCCACCTCGACATTTCTCTACTCTTCCCTCACCCTTACTACTTGAATTAGGATCCTCCCTTTGCACTCCCTCTTTGCAGGGTTTCTGGGCTCATTTTCGGGCTCAATTTTGATAATTCGAACTATTCATATTTTAAGATTTATTCAGTATATCATATTTGTAAAAAATCAAGTTGATCGGATATCAAAAAGCATATGTTCGGAAAACTGTTTATTAAACTCTTTAAAAAAATAGTTTTTAGTTCGATTTTTCTGAACACATGCTTTCTGATATCCAATCAACTTGATTTTTTACAAGTATGATATACTGAATAAATCTTAAAATATGAACGGTTCGAATTATCAAAATTGGACCTAAAAGTGCCCGAAGGCCCTGCAAGGAGAGAGTGCAAGGGGAGGATCTTGACTCCTATTACTCTGCCGCCCACTTCTGCCACCCTCAAATCATTCCTACCCAACCCAACATCATAATCAACCCAAATCCTAATCACTAGAACCACACAATCCCATCCACAACCCTTTCTCGTCGCCACCCTGCACCACCTCTCTTCGTTGTTGCAAAGTGCACAATTTGCCTTTTACTCTGCATGGTTTGGACTTGCACCTTGTTGGTTTTAAAAACAATGAAAAGAGGAGTGTGGGGTGACAATTGAAAGGAGTTGAGGGGTTTGGGTGGTTTTCGTGGCTAGGGTGTCGCGAGGGTGGGTGGTGGATTAAAAAATCAAAGTTAATGGTTTCCAAGCGTGAATCCACTATCCTAATGATTACCATGATTAGGTCTCATTAACTTGCCCTTAGCCTTGTTTGGCAAATACCTCATTTAGAATAAACTATCAATGAATCTTAATAGTTGAACTTAATTACCATCAAATCTTATTGAAAATAAGTCGAAGTGAAATTGTCACTAAAAATAATTTTTTGTCACGATTTTTTACATGTGTCCCTAAAAATTGATAATTAGTGACTTTTTTTGTCATAATTTTTGTACATTGTCGCTAGGGGTGCTCGCGGATCGGTTTTTGACTTTTGGACCCGCTCGCATGTCTGCGATTTGAAGAAAATTAAACCCGCAACCATTTGCAATGCAGTTGCGATTTGTGTAAATAAGATTCACAGATATTTTGGCAGTTTGTGAATTAGATTTTTTCCAATAAAAATTCATTCACTATCTAGTACCCAACAACACAATTAGAGTAAAATCATTCAAAATCCTAAACATATCTAAAAGTAATTCTTCATCAACTTTTACATTCATCTAAAAATCGAAATGCAATAATAATAACTAGTTAGAAATCAAAGTAAACTGTTGTCAAATTTCATCCATACCCATTAAATAAAATAAAATAAAAACATTTACAAACTCCATAAAAAATAAAAATTATATAATTTATTTAATCTTCAATCTTCATAGAAAATCTCAGTGCTTTTCTAAGAATTTTCTTCATGAGAAAAAGAAGAAAAAAAATCTTATAGCCCTATTTTGTGGTTTAGAAAACAAAAAAAATAATTTGTGAAATAAACATTAAAGTTCTATCCAAAGACAACAAAAAACTCAAATGTCGAGAAGGATTCTGAGATAGAAAAAAAACCTACCACATTTCCCTTCTACAAAACTTGCAAGAAAATCTGACGATCCAAATTTTTTTTAAAAATGTATAAAGATACAGGCGGGTGAGTGCGGGTGTAGGTGCGGGTAAAACCTATGACTCGCCCACAACCCTCAAAATAAGAAAATCCTAACCCACATCTAATCCTAACAATTCTACGAAACCGCCCAAATAGGTGCAGACGATTCGAGTCGGGTAGTTTTCGCAGATCGAATAACCCTATGTCCAGCCTTAATTGTTGCTAAATCTTACACTTAGCAACGTTTTTCTGTGATGAATTTTTCAAACAGTTGCTGAAAGTTGAAAGTTAATGACTTTTTTGTGACAATTTTTTTAAATTGTCGCTAAAACTTCTAATTAGTGACATTTTTTGTTACAATTTTCAATCTGTCACTGAAAATTAACAATTAGTAACTTTTTTAATAGTATTTGATGAAAATAACATTAATTCTCATAGGACGAATTGAACAATAAGTCCACCTATTAGGATATACACGCAAGTCCCCCTACTATTTATACAATATATATATATATATGTATGTATTGATAATTCAGGGTTTTTTCCACCCAACTCAACTCCTTGAGAAACTCGAACTTGAGATTTTATATCTTATTCTCATATTTTCACTGTTCTGCCAACTCCTTACCTTAACTAGACGGTCCTATAATCCTACTTTTTAGCTTTTTATTTTTAAAAAAAAAATGTTAACTATTGTGGGTGATCTTAATTTTTATGTCAAAAATGTATTTAAAAAACAGAGTATAGAAATATATAAAAGTATGTAAAATCATTTTTACACGTCGAATGCTCTATCCCTAACCCACACATACGCAACATTACATTTGAAAGCAGTTAGAATTAGAGTAAATTATGTTTTATCTCCTTTATATTTGACTATTGTTTTATTTTGAATCTTAAATTTTATTTTTATTTTTTTACTTTTGACCCTTCACATTTAATTTTTTAAAATTTATTTCTAAAACTAACTTTTATTTAAAATTAGACAAATAATATCACATTGATAATCACGTGACATGATATGTATTATTATATTTAACCTATACCCCTGTTACCAATTATAAAATTGACAAAAAATAAATAAACAACAGAGAAAATGGTTGGTTTGGTCTACATCTGGAGAAGTAGTGGAGTAGACTAGACTAAAATATACTCTACTTTAACAAAATATATCAAAATAAATAAACAACATGAAGAGAGAGAAAATGGGTCGACTAATGGTTTACAGCAATAGATGGCTTACTTCAAAGTTGGGGAAATTCTTTAAAAATGAGAAATTTTCGTATTTGCTTGAAACTAAAAAATTTCTTAATTTCAAGTAACACTATGAAATTATTGCGATCTCTGTCCATCGCATTTATATCTAATATTTCAACATGCTTAACACACATCAATTGGTATAAAAAAAATTTGAGATTTCGCACTAGCAACAAAATTGGGGAATTTATTTTTTATTTTTTATTATTCAAACTGGGAGATTTCTCGATTCTGAGAAATTGAGAAATCTATCAAACAACTACTTGGGAATGAAACTAGTGAGAATTTTAAAACTTGCAAACCATGAAAGTTAATGGGTACAATTGCTAGAAAAAAGAAATTGCTTATTAAGGGGGGAATAAAATAGAGTTTATTTACTGTAGATAAAAAATTTATGATAGAAACAGAGCTACTGCTCTTGCTGGAATTATTTCATAATTAATTGTTTGCCTCCTGGGGACTTAATTTCCTTAATCAAGATGAAGACATTCTAAAAAACATCAATTATCTCAGGCCTTGAATCAAACCATGATTTCCATTTGCTTTTACAAATGAAAGCTTTTCTGAGTCGATTAATTTACTGATCTGGGCTAATACCTCGAACTCAAATCCTTTCGCGCAATCAAAAGTCAGACATCTTCCTATGGAGAAATGCTAAAGATCATGAAAAAAATATTATGAAATGTTTTATAAAATTTTTCATCATTTGATTAGTGTGTGGTGTTTTATTGTATGTGTAATATAAGGATGGAAAATTTTCATGAAGTATTTTATGATCGTTTTTTCATGATCCATAGCATTACTCTTCCTATGTTGTGGTTGCAAACAAGCAAGTGTTGAAGTTCATCTAGTTTGATTATTGCTTTGGGAAGATATGTAACAAAAGTTTTGCTTAAGATCCAAGGTTTCGCGGTGACAAAGATTGCCTAGAGATTTTGGAATAAACTCAATTTTTGTATTACTCAAACACAAGATTTCCATTCTTGTTCAGTTTTCTTTATACTTGACGGAAAATTATACTTGACAAAAATCGACCAATTTCAATGAAATCCCAAGGGGCTATTTTTAAAATATAGGAAGTAAAGTGTTATCAAACTATAGTGTAAATTGATTTTTGCTTTATTTCCAATTTTGAAAGATTTGAAGAAAAAAAATGTCTAAGTTGAAAATTTCCTTTCAGGCGCAAAATTGACCATGTATGTTATGCTACTTAGAAGCAAGCAGTAATAATTGCCTCTCTTCTTCTTCTTCTTCTTCT